TTTTTTTGCTTATGTGGTGCTGAGGAATTGAACCCAGGGCCTCATGCATGCAAGGCAAGCGCTCTACCACTGAGCCACCTTCCCAGCCCCTTGAAGATAACTCTTAAGGTGGAGACTTGGCAGCTCTGTCTTGAGGTGCTCTTGTATTTATGCACTAGAACAAATGTAGTGATGTCCCTGGGTCACTGCGTGTTGGTGTTCTAAAGTGCAAAGAAGAAAACATGTTGGCAGCAGAGCTTGACCAGTGGCTTGTATATCTTCATATAGCAGACTCATCTGAGTAATCATTGAAATAAATAAAACCTTGGCCATTGCAAACATATGTATAGCTGTATTGGCAGCATATTTTGAAGGACAGAGTTGGAGAAGAGCACTACGATTATAAGTTTTGAGCCATTGGTATCCAGCTCCTTTATTTTTATTTATTTTGCTGCCAGGCCTGTGGCTTGAACTCAGGGACTGGCACTGTCTCCCTGAGCTTCTTTTGCTCAAGGCTAGTGCTCTATCATTTGAGCCACAGCTCTACTTCCAGCTTTTTTGGTAGTTTATAGGAGATGAGTGTCTTGTGGATTTTCCTACCTGGGCTGGCTTTAAACTGTGACCCTCAGATCTCACTCTGCTGAGTAGCTAGGATGACAGTTGTGAGCCACTGGTACCTGGCTCCGGCTCTTTTTTTTGGTGAACTTGACACAGATACTTGTTTCACAGAATCTAAGCTGTTCACTTTGTCAAATTTAAAAATGAAGGGTTTGGAGGCGTGGCTAAGTAAACTGCTAGCCAGTGAGCCAAAGCATCAGGTACTAAGTTTGAGTCCTGCTTTCAGACCAAAAAAGAAAAGAAAAGAAAAATTAAATGCAAACAATGTTATTCCTTATTTGTTTTGTTTTGTTTTGGTGCTGGTCTTAGGCCTTGAGTCTCAGAGCCTAGGAACTATCCTCGAGCTTTGTTGCTCAAGGCTGGCAGTGAACCACTTGTGCTACAGCTTCACTTCAGGCTTTCTAGTGGTTAATTGCATATAAACATCTCACAGACTTCCCTGCCCAGGCTGGCTTTGAATTGCAGTCCTCAGATCTGTCTCCTGAGTAGTGCTGGGATTATAGGCATGAGCTACCGATGTACCATTGGCTGGCGTGCGCGCGTGTGTGCGTACGTGTGTGTGTGTGTGTGTGTGTGTGTGTGTTTGCGTGTTTGCTTGCTTGCTTGCTCTTGAATAGCTTTCTTGCTCAAGGCCAGTGTTTTACCATTTGAACTATACCTCCAGTTCTAGTTAATTGGAGATTACTATGGGTTTGTCTGCCCAGACAGGCTTTGAACCTCAATCTTTAGATCTTAGGCTCCTATTAGTCAGCGTGTGTGTGTGTGTGTGTGTGTGTGTGTGTGTGTGTGTGTGTGTGTGATCTTAGGCTCCTATTAGTCAGCGTGTGTGTGTGTATGAGAGAGAGAGAGGACTGAGACTGTTTTGGGCTTGAATTTAGGGCATGGGTGCTGTCCCTGAGCTCTGCACAAGACTAGCGCTCTACCATATGAGCTATAGCTCTACTAAAGAAAGGTAACTGGTTTTTGCTGGTTAATTGGAAATAAAGAGTGTCATGAATTTTCTTGCCTGGGCTGGCTTTGAACTGCAATTTTCAGATCTCAGTCTCCTGAGTAGCTAGGATGACAGGCGTGAGTCTCAGCACGTCCAACTGTCAGCTTCTTGAACCATAGGCATTACCAGTAATCAAATGGAAGAGACAAATAGGAGATCAGATTAATAGAATCTGTCTCCACCAGAAATTACCTTGTACTATGCTGGGTATCTTGCTCAGTTATGGAAGTGTCCTTAGATTTAGATCCCAAATGTAGTTCCAGGATTTTTGTTTTCTCCTTATGGTACTAAAGTAAGTTTCAGTTTTGAATGTTAAGGGGTTGTTGCTAATCCAGATCTTGATTAGATAGTGAAGTTTAATTAATTGTCAGCTTGGCAACTGTTTTACAGAATATTGCATGTTAACCTCCAGGCTCCTGACAACAAATCAGAGAAAGGGTAATTGTTACTTTTTAAAAATGTAAACAAAGATGAACTTCCTGGGACTTTCTAGACGGGACAATTTGTAGATGGCCCTTTTGTGTGTGCGTGTATGCGTGCTGTACTGGGGCTTGAAATCAAGGCCTCAGGTTCTCGCTTAGCTTTTTCTCTCACGCTTGGCTCTCTGCTATGGGAGCCACACTTATGCTTCCAGCCTTTTACTAATTAGTTGTAGATAAGAGTCTTCCAGACTTATCTATCTGGGTTGTCTTCAAACTGAGATCTTCAGATCTCATCCTCCTGGTTAGCTGGGATTATAGGCATGAGCCATCAGCTCCCAGTCTTTTTTTTGGTGGTCCTGGGGCTTGAACTCTGGGCCTAGATATTGTCTCTGCTCTGTTTAGCTCGAGGCAAGTGCTCTACCACTTGAGCCACAGCATCACTTCTGGCTTTTGCTGTGTATGTGGTACTGAGGAATTGAACCCAGGACTTCATGCATGCTAGGCAAGCACTCTACCACTAAACCACATTCCCAGCCCTTGTAAGCTGTTTCTTAAACATTGAATTGTCTTGGAGCATTTGGGGCTTAATGCAAAATTGAGAGGAAAGTATGGAGACTTCCCACACCCTCTGCCCCTACAAAGCATCAACTATTATCACTACACCTACTGAGGGTTTATCACTCAGCCTGCCTGACATTCCATTATTTCACAAGTGCATCCAGTACCCTGGGGTTCACTCTAGGTGAACTATGAGCTTAGATAAATATGTAATGTCAGTATATGTAATATGATCACATAGGACAGTTTCACTGCCCTAAAAATCCTGTGCTATACCTAGTCATTTCTCCTGTCCACCCAACTCCTAGTAATCACCAACTGATTGTTTCTCCAGTTTTGCTTTTCCCAGAGCATCATGTACAGTAGTTGAAGCCATGCATGTAGCATGTCGCCTATTCAGATTGGCCTTTTCTGGTTTATTTAAACAGTTACGTAACTCATTTAATAGCACAATATGAGTATCAAGGGGATGCTACTAAAAAATACCATATTCAGGATCCAAGTTGGGGGCTGGGAAGATGGCTTAGTGGTAGAGCGCTTGCCTTGCATGCCTGAGGCCCTGGGTTTGATTCCTCAGCACCACATAAGCAAAAAGAAAAAAGCCGGAAGTGGCGCTGTGGCTCAAGTGGTAGGGCGCTAGCCTTGAGCTGAAGAGCTGAGGGACAGCGCCCAGGCCCAGAGTTCAGGCCCCACAACCGGACCAAAAAAAAAAAGGATCCAAGTTGGACTGCTGTTAATTGGGGTTTTAGTGTCATTTTCCAGTAGGAAGACAAACTTTAATTACTGAGCTTTTTTTTTGGTGTGAAGTTTTATTGGCATTGTGACTCAGTATCAAAAAAACCTAAGGTTTCCCAGTTTAACCCTTTTGTTGTCATTCAGTGTTTAAAGGTAATGATTTGCAATTCCATTAAAACCCGAATAACATCTTTTACAAGTCCCTTTTTCCTCCAGAGGTAAGTTACAACCTTAAAGTATTTATTGTACATAAAGTATTTATTATAAGTAATGTATATTACAGTGTATATTTAAAGACATTGGATAGATAACATTTCTCGTATATAAAAGGAATCCTGATAGTTTTAGTTTATATTCATCCTTAGGATGCTACAAATGACCATAATCTCATTACTTTTCATTGTTTTTCAGCAGCAAGCCCTGACTGGGAGCCTGGTGGCAGGGGCTAGCAATGTGATGGAGGCTGACCCATTCAAGAGACAGCAGACCGTACCACCCACAGGTATGTCCTGGGCACAGGTGGAAGTGGCCATAGTGGCAGTGGCGATGGAGTTGCCATGTATTTCTAAAAGCTTGATTTCTACTTTTAAAATTAAATTTTCTTTTGGTGATTATCAGCTAAAACAAAAGATGTGAATGTTATTGTATATTAAAGTTAGAAATTTTTCATTTGATGAGTTATATTCCATTTTGATTTTCCATGGACCATTGTTATGTTGTGATTAAATGTTGGCATTATTTATCTGCTTTTTGAAGTTGTTGGCTTTTTTTTTTAAACTAGATTTTCTTTAAATTATAAATGTGATGGCACATTTTTATGTGAGAGACAGAGGCAGTTCAGAAGGTAGCTTCAAGCTACCCTGGCTTGTGGTCAGCTTCTTCCCCAGCATAACAGGGACCACTACCCATGCTTTGTGGATTCTCAAAGACATTTTATACCTGTACAAGTGTTAAGTACATGTCATTCTGAAAAAAGTTCAATTGTGACACATTTTTTTAAGTTAAAAATATTTTTTAAAATATTTTAAAATATTAAAAATAAGCTACCAGATGCTGGTGGCTTACTCTTATAATCCTACCTACTCAGGAGTCTAAGATTTGAGGATTGAGATTTGAAGTCAGCCTGGGCAGAGAAAGCCATGAGATTCTTCTCCCCAGTTAACCAGCAAAAAGCCAGAAGTGGAAGTATGGCTCAAGTGATAGAACCTTGAGCAGAAAAAAACTAAACAAGAGTACAAGCCCCTGAATTCAAGCCCAAGTTACCATCACAAACAAAACAAAGCAACAAAAAGTAGACCTTAATGGCTGCCTTTCCAAGTATTCCATAGGGTGGACGATTCCTTCTTTAGCAGTCAGACCATACAAGTGTTTGCTTGTTATTGAAAGTATTATTGCACATTTATCACTCTGAGGTGTTGATAGAGGTTTGGATATCTAATCTCAAAAGTGTTTTCTTGGCATGTTTGTCAGCATTATCTAAAGGGAAGCCCAGAAATGTACTGCCAGGTCAAAGAGGATGTGCAGTAGTGAGGTGGTGGCTTCATTCAGCTGTTCTTCAGGACAGGGCACTTATATTTCTAGCAGAAATTTCTGCTTCTCTCTTTTTTGTTGGTCTAGGGGATTGAACTCAGGGCCTCATGACTTTCTAGCAAATGCTCTACCACTTGAACCATGCCTCCAATCCTTTTGCTTTTAGTTTGCTTTTCACTAGGTTCTTGGGCTGACTTTTCCTTGTCTGGCCTTGAAACACAGTATTCCTGTCTTTACTTCCTGCCTGGCTGGGACCAGGCATGTGTCACCAAATTCAGCCTTGGTTCTCTTACATTTTAATGTGTTATTTTGTTCAATAAAACCTTTCATCTTCAGTGATCCCACAGTGAATATTGTATCTTTTGTTTAGATTTAGATATCTCTGATTTTAAGTAAGGGTACAGAGTATCATTAATTGTTAGCCATTTGTGACTCTGCTCACAGCTAACTGCTCATGTTCTGTGCCTGTTTTCTCATGGTTGTTGAGACTTTTATTTTTCATTTGTAAACTATGTCAGAATGTTGAATAAATCAGCCTGTGTCTGTCATGTGTTGCAATTTCTCTCGGTTGCTTATTCTTTGGCTTTTTATTATGCTTTTTCTTCTATAACATTTTAATGAAGATAATCCCCTTATTCCTTATGGCATATAAAGGCTTCCCTCTTCTAAATTATGAAAACACTTGCACATGTTTTTCTATACATTGTATGATTTTATTTTTACATGAAATGGCACCTTTCTTGAAAATTATTCTAGAGCAGTCTAAGAGGCCTCGACTTGAAGTGGGTCATCCAGGGGTAGTTTTCCAGCACCCTGGGGCGAACGCAGGAGTCCCTCTACAGCAGTTAATGCCAACCGTCCAAGGTAAGCCCCGGCATCAGAGCCAGTGCTCTCAGCTCATAGCGAAGGAGTGCATGGAAACCTTGTGACCAGCCCAGCCCAAGGCTGTGCAGTCGAGCGGTTATATTTAATGTGAATTTCTCACATGGGGACATTTCTGTGTGCCCCGTCAGTACAGGATGAGGAAGCCCCTGGAGACACAGTCTTGCCATTCTAATGGGAGCCACACTTTGCCTTGTCATTGTGCTTTCTAGCAGTTTTACTTGTGATTTTCTTAATTGCTGCTGTTGTAGGGGTGCCCTGTGGTTGGTTATTTGATGCTTGTTTTGCTTGGTGCTAACCTGCAAAGGCCGAGCTCCTGTCCTTCCTTCTTTGTGTGCTCCTTCTGACATTAGGTCTGATAGAACACTAACTCCCATTTGAGTATGGTGGTGAGTTGCCCTTGGAACTTACCTGGTGGAAGCTGACGTGCTCTGAAGTCAGTGTTCTGGGTTCTTCCTTACTTCCTAGGAGGGATGCCCCCCACCCCTCAGAGTGTACAGCACACTGGGCAGAAGCAGAGCCAGCAGCAGTACGACCCTTCCACTGGGCCTCCTGTGCAGAATGCCGCCAGCTTGCACACTCCACCACCACAGCTGCCTACGAGGCTGCCCCCAGCTAGTGTTCCTGCTGCAGCCCTCTCTTCCACTCTGCAGTTTTCACAGCAATCGCAGGTGGTGGAGGCTCAGACTCAACTCCAAATCCCCGTGAAGACTCAGCAGCCGAATGTCCCTCTCTCTGCTCCTGCAACCAGCCAGCTCCCTGTTCCTCCTCCACAGCCTACACAGCCAGCTCTCCATGTTCCAGTGCCTGGGAAGGCACAGATGCAGGCATCTCAGCTTTCATCTCAGACACAGGTACTGAGGCATTTGCTGTTTGGTTACAAGTTAGATATGCAAGCAGAGGGAAGTGGTGTGCAGAGGTGGCTTGTGGTCTGTGTAATTGGCAGGTGGCTCATTATACTAACTGTACATTCTTCAGAGAACCTCATTGGCCTATGAGAGTAGTTGGTTAATTTAGCAGTTGGAACATAATTTGTTTTTTGCCAGTCCTGGAATTTGAAGTTAGGGTCTGGATGCTATCCCTGAGCTTTTTTTTTTGCACTTGAGCTACAACTCCTCTTCTGGCATTTTGGTAGTTTATTGGAAATAAGATTCTCATGGACTTTCCTGCCGGGACTGGCTTTGAACCACGATTCTTAGATCTCAGCCTTCCGAGTACCTAGGATTACTAGTATGAGCCACTGGTGCTTGGGTTGGAATGTGAATTTTTTAACTGAATTATAGCCATTGAAGTACTGCTGCTCTTGGTACGGGAGCACCCATCCATTGACACACACACTCGGAAGGGCCATCATCTCAGGTAGTCACTGAACTTACCAGTTGCAGAGCTCATGGGACTGGCCTGAGTTATATGGTAATGATCCTACCTCTGTCCAAGAGCAAAGTCATATTTGTAAACATTTGTCACACACTCTCCATGGGGGGCCTCCCTGCCCTGTTTTTTGATGCCATAGGCTCCACGGTTTGGTATGAGGCATTGCTCATACAGCCTTAACACTTATTTTGAGTGTTTAAAGTGTCCCTACTCCCCCAGTTAGTTATCATTTTGTTTATATGTCTTGGGAATGTTTGTAGTAAACTGGCCAGAGGTTCTCCTAAGGACCCATGAGCACAACTCACTGAGAGCATGGGAGTGGGAAAAACATTTTCCAGAAACATACCTTGATTCTCTTGTTCTCTCAGACTTCACTGAAAACTCTTAATATTTATTACTTCATTTATTAAATGAGTTTAGGGGCTTGAGCTTAGGGGCTGACACTGCCCCTGAGCTATGAAATTTGAAAGTTAGCACTCTACCACTTGAACCATAGCTTTGAAAGTTAGCACTCTACCACTGGAGCCATAGCTTTAAAAGTTAGCACTTTACCACTTGAACCATAGCTTTGAAAGTTAGCACTCTACCACTTGAGCCATAGCTTCATTTCTGGCTTTTTGGTGGTCTTAAGGACTTTTCTGCCTGGGCAGTCCTCACATCTTAGCCTCCTGAGTAGCTATGGTTACTGGTACCTTGCAATGAGCCTTTCTGGCCTGTGCTTTTTCATCAGTAAAATGGGATAATAGAGGGTACTTCGTAGTTACTGCTGCACAGAGAAAATAAACTAATTCCTCACAGCTCACTCCACAGGTGATTAATAAGCAGTAGCTACTAATAACTTTTGCCACCAGTCCAGAATACTTAAGACTTAGCTATAGATTGCAATGAAGTAAACTCAAAATCCAGCTGGGACGTTTGTTAAAAGTGGGGGTGGGGGGGGAGGAGGTTGCAGAGTGGCTTAAGTGGCTCTGCTACTCAGCAACACGATTAAGAAATGTAGCAGCCAGGGCTGGGAAGGTGGCTCAGTGGTAGAGCGCTTGCCTTGCATGCCTGAGGCCCTGGGTTCGATTCCTCAGCACCACATAAGCAAAAAGAAAAAAGCCGGAAGTGGCTCTGTGGCTCAAGTGGTAGAGTGCTAGCCTTGAGCTGAAGAGCTGAAGGACAGCGCCCAGGCCCAGAGTTCAGGCCCCATGACCGGACCCAAAAAAAAAAAAAACAAACTGGAAGTGGAGGGGTGGCTCAAGTGGCAGAGTGCTATCCCTGAGCAAAAAAAGCTCAAGTACAGTACCCAGACTCTGAGTTCAAGCACCAAAACCAGAGCAAAACAAACAAAATGAAACAAAGCAGCAGGATGTCAGTGGTTTATGCCTGTAATTCTAAGCTGTTTAAGAGGCTGAAATCTGAGGATTAGTTTGAAGCCAGCCCAGACAAGAAAGTCTGTGAGACCAAAAGCTGAAAGTGGAGATGTGGCTCAAGTGGTCGAGCTGTAATCTTGAGCAGGGATCCTGAGAGGATTTTACTCCATCTTGTAAGAACAGTTGGAAGCATGTTAAGTTTTGTAAGCTTGGCCCTGGACAGTGTAGGGGATTTTCCACCCTGGTAGCCTGCCACAAGAGATGACTTGGAATTTTCTCCTCTAAGAAAAGATATAAGATGAACATGTGGTATTTTCAATTAGCAAAAAAAGCTTATGTGATTAAATTTTAAAGTCGAGAAAAAGCTGGAAGATGCAAAAAAGAAAAAAAGTTTCCTTGAGCTCTTAACATAATATTGAAGATACAGTTTGCTGTGAGCACTCTTGTTAGGGTTTCTGGAAGTAAGGCAGGGTGACATTTGGAGACCTCCTCTAGTTTGTTTCTTAGTTGTGGTTGTAATGGGCCTTTGTGAGCATGTGTTGCTATGAAGAGGAAGGCACTGGGTGTGTTGGCCTCTCTCATCTGAGTGCTCTGGTGTTTGGGCACTGTGGATGTCATGAAGCTTTGTTTTGATCTTGTTTCATTTATCTTCTGTGTGCTAGGCAGTGGCATCAACCAGGCTTCCCCTGGACTCTGTCCAGCCCTGCCAGCGGTCTCTGCCTGCTGCTTCTTCCTCATCTCTCACACCCGTGAGTGGCTCAGGCCCGGGGCCTTTGCCTGCACGGTCTTCACCAGTGAACAGACCCTCCTCAGCCACTAGCAAAGCACTGTCTCCTGCCACTTCTCGTTCTCCAGGGGCTGCGGTGCCAGCCCCCCCGAAGCCACAGAGCCCTGCTCAGAACGCTGCCTCATCTCAGGACAGTTCTCAGGATAAGCTGGCAGAGCAGATAACACTGGTAATTATGCCCAAGCAAGTATAAAATGTATTCCAGGTTTTTGTTGACTGTTTACTATTGGCTTTGTTGCTCAGGCTAGTTTTCAGTTCCAGAGTTCAGGTGACCCTCTTGCCTTTGCCTAGGAAATAACTGTGATTGCAAGTGCATAATCTAGTTTATGATGCACCTTCCTCACTCCCCCCCCCCCCCCATGCTGGGTTTAAACTCAAGGCTTTGTCCTCACTCAGCTTGTGTGCTCAGCTGTCATTCTATCACATAAGCCACGCCTCCTGTCTGACTTTTGTTTGCTATTTTGGAAATGGAATCTCAAGGACTTTTCTGCTTGGCTGGCTACAAAAACCTCCAGATCTCACCTTCCTGAGTAGCTGAGAGCAACTGGGACCCAACTTTTGTTTTTTGTTTTTTAGTATATGCTAATTTAAAACTGAATACCTAGTTGTAAGAACAATTGAATGTGGTTTATGATCTTTAGAAAGCATGACTCAACCATGTGGTGCAACCTCCTCTGATAGAAGCAGACTCATGTGAGGCGTCTTTTCCTCAGGACACATTGGCCATCTTGGGCTACTTTCCACCAGCCACAAGTGGGGCTGGGAGTATACTTACAGTCTTTTGCTCAGCTTCATCAGAGATTTGAAAGGCATATGTGAAAATCTCACTGTCTTGCTTATTGGTCAGTATATAGCATATTGGTCAGTACATAGCCAAGCCTTCCTTGATTTCTTCCTTTTCCCAATTATTTTCAACAAAATCCCAGCTAGGGGGCTGGGAAGGTGGCTCAGTGGTAGAGCGCTTGCCTTGCATGCATGAGGCCCTGGGTTTGATTCCTCAGCACCACATAAGCAAAAA